AAAAAAAAAAAAAAAAGACAAAGTAACAGTACTTAGTCCAATATTAGGCATATAACAGACACCAACACTGGAATTTTACCTCCAGGAGGGAGGGAAATGTTTTCCTAAGTTCTTTGTAGGATTCCCATAAATCCTCTTATATTGAATGACCTTGCCCTATGAGGTAAAAATATAGTTACAATTTCTTGCAGTAAGAAGTAGCAAAGCCAGAGCAATCTATTCAGGTTGAACATCAAAGTTAATGATGAATAATCACCCTAACTCTTCTCAAAGAGCAAGCTGGAAGAGACTACTATTAACAAATTCTACCTCCCTCAACTTTTTTCATAAACTTGGTTTAGTTATCACTCTGAACTTGAATCTACCCATCTGACTTTAGCATATTTTTTCTTTCTTTCTTTTTTTTTTTTTTTGAGAAAGAGAGAGCGAGTGAGCCCCCACAAGCAGGGTAAGAGGGAGAGAAAGAATCTGATGCAGGCTCTCCACACCCAGTGCAGAGTCCGAAGTAGGGCTTACACTTACAAACCGTGAGATCATGACCTAAGCCAAAATCAACAGTCGGCCACTTAACCAACTGAGCCACCCAGGTGCCCTTAGCATCTTTCCTAAGTAAATATAACTTAGTTGATTCAACTGACTTGACATTGGTCAAAGGAAGTCAGTCTGAGATTCAAAATATGTCATAAATGGGGTACCCAGTTGGCTCAGTTGCTAGAGCCAGCATCTTGATCTTGAGATCATGAGTTCAAGCCCCACATTGGGCATAGAGCTTACAATTTAAAAAATAACAAATAAAAAACAAAATATGTCACAAATAGTATTAAAAAAAGGGAAAAAGCAAAATTAGTCATTTAGGCTATTTCCATCATAATGCAGGAGAAAATAATATATGGCCTAATTTTTTTTTAGACACTCCCAGCAGAGAGAATCTGGGGAAGTTCAAAGCAGTGTTTGGGATCCTGCTATAAGTCAAAAGATTCATAAAACAGGGGCTCCTGGGTGGCTCAGTCAATTGAGTGTCCAACTTTGGCTCAGGTCATGATCTCGAGGTTCATGAGTTCAAGCTCCACATCAGGCTTGCTGCTGCCAGCCTGTCAGCATGGAACCTGCTTTGGATCCTCTGTCTCCCTCTCATTCTGCTCCTCCCCCACTTGCATACTCTCTCTCTCTCAAAAAATAAAAACATTAAAAAAAGATTCATAAAAGGACATACCAGCTGCCTTCTTCTTGTCCATGCCCTTCCCCACACAGTTCAGTGCTGCTGTGACCACTGTGGGCTCTGAGAAACCCAGCACCCTCTTCACTGTCTTCTCTATCCATGGCTTCAGTTCATCCAGCTCCCTCTTAGACAGTGCCATTCTTCAGGAAAGGGAGGGTAGCTCAAATGGGGTTCAGTCCTGCACCTAAAAAGAAACCAGGAGAACACTTAGTTAGAGGGTAGGAAAAGAGCACCCCAAGCAATGTTTAGTGTATCAGGAATGCCCTCTCCGCCTCTCTTCCCAATCCTTAGGCAAGTTCCTGCACTTCATTTCGACCTAAATACTTTCTCTAAAACCCATTACTTAAAAGCAGAAAGAACTACATTTCATTTGCAACTCTAACTCAGTTAGGTATCAGTGGATCAGTGAAATCTGGGGAATAAACAAACCAACCCTGAGAATAACCTAGTCTGAGAAATGAGTTCTAGCTTCTTTTCTGATCCTGTCATAACAAGGATTGGCAAACATATAACCTGAAAACAAGAGTGAAAAAACCCACCCAGAGGCCAGCTTTTCTTTCTTTTTTTTTTTAATGCTTATTTATTTCTGAGACAGAGAGAGACAGAGCATGAGTGGGGGAGGGGCAGAGAGAGAGTGGGAGACACAGAATCAGAAGCAGGCTCCAGGCTCTGAGCTGTCAGCACAGAGCCCGACGCGGGCTCGAACTCACAAACCGTGAGATCATGACCTGAGCTGAAGTTGAACGCTCAACCGACTGAGCCACCCTGGTGCCCCCCAGAGGCCAGCTTTTCTATCTCTCCTGCTTCCAGGTAGGCATTCCTTAACCTAGCCTTGACCTGTAGGATTCCCTTCCTTTAAGGAATGGTGGTGGGGGGGTGGGGAGGGGGAGAGAGAAAGGGCTATCCAGGTCAGCCATCCTATATTAAAGTTCATAATCCTGGGGTGCCTGGCCGGCTCACTTGTTATGGCATGTGACTCCTGATCTCAGGGGCATGAGTTCAAGTCGCACATTGGGCGTGGAGCCTACTTTAAATAAATGAAACACTTAAAAAAATAACAAATCTTATAATCCTTAAGAATGCTGTCACTTATCTCTACAGTCATATTCATCCCTGTGGGAATTCTGTACCCAGATCACGTTCTCTCATGTTCTACTCTGTCAGTTGACTTTGTAAGATTAATTCTTCACCTCAGAAAAGAAGGTCCTCATTTTGGATGTACTTTCTCTCTCTCCCTTTTCATCTTTATTCTTCTACTTTTTAGCTTAGCAGAGAAAACACTATCATAAAGGACACCCTACAACAAATCTTTGTTATTTAATGCAAGTTAATATAATTCTTCAACATTATTCATTTTACATTTTTGATCTCCTACTTAAACAGCAAAACTCATGAGCATAGAGAAAATTTTATTTCCCTGATTTTCTCCGTAAGTGCTTAAATCAATAAACTGCACTGACCTCCGTTTCCAAGCTAACTTCCTCCCAGCACTGCTACAAATCAGGGTCTCCGGTAGTCAATCTTTCAAGATGTTTTAGGACCTCTTTTCTCCTAAAAGATAGTCTGATTAATTTCTACTTTCTTGGCAGGTTTACCCTCTCTATAAGACCTGTTGCTAAACAGCATATTTAATTTTGGCATAACCATGGGAAGCCAGTAGATTAAAATCAAGAAACTAGGAGTGAAAGATTTTGTGTCTCAGGGACATGTTCTATGAATAATTCTATGGCAGCTTTATTCACCTATATCATGATAGAGTATAGTTTATAAATCTCTGTATATTAAACATGCATTACTCAAAAGAAGCATAGACACCACAGAGAGTGAAGAAAGAGTTCACACTGAACATTTGGGTCACAGAGTTCCACTGTTTACCAGCTTTGGGGCAAGTAATTCCTCTGAGCCTCGGTCTACTCATCTTACAAAATGAGGACAATCTGCCATACCTTCATCATTCTTTATCATTCAGTAAATATTTATTGTATAATTACTAAGTCTCAATCAGTGCACTGGGTGCTGCGGATACCTACAACGGTGAACGTATCAGACATTCCTCGCCTTAACGAGGCTTACATTCCACTAGAATTGAATCATGGGCTAGAAAGCGTAAGCAATTTGAAAAGCCAAAGCAACAAATGAGCTACCACTCTATCAGATGAAACGTGTGCCCAAATACTATACTAACAAATGTATTCAACTTCAACTCAATCCTCTAGCAAACTAAACAGCCAGTGGACAAAAATAAAAGTTCCCAACAGTCACTAGCTTTGTCACTAATCAAATGTTCAACAATAACTGCCTGGGACGGGGCGGGGTGGGGTGGGGGTGGAAGAAGAGGTAGGCAGAAGGATCTCTCAATGAGCAGGTAGCAGAATCCAATCTTCTGAAGAATCCCCTTACTCCGTGTTCTTTGCTACAACCTGAGTTTCCTTCCCTCTGCAACCCCTATTCCTCTCTGCTCTTTCCCTATCTCCCACTGGCTCCCCACCCCACCTTGTCCTCCCCAAACTCCCATCTTAGAGCCAGTCTCCCCACCCCGTCCCCTTCCCACCCCCGCCCTTTTCCTCTTTACAATCTCACTCCAACCCATTCTCCCTCAGAACCTTGTACTTCTTCGGCTTCCTTCCCACTGAACCTTCCCGCCTGGGTCCTGCCCTTGGACTGAAACCTGGTCCTCACCGCTCGGAACACAGCATATCCACCCCGGGCCCGGGGTCACTACTCACCTCACAAACTTCAGCCCCTGAGACGGAGCCCGAACGTTACACCGGAACCGGAAACTGTCCGACCGCCCTACGGCCTGCCGTCGCTACCGCCACGGCCGCCGCCACGCCGCGGCCCCCCGACATGTGACGGGGAAGGGCGGGGCCACCGGTTCGCGCAGCCGTAGTAACCATCTGCTCGGCGGCGGCGCGCATGCGTGCCCAGCTGTGACGTTTGCCTGTACAAGTTGCTAGCTACTTAGGTTTCCCCAGCGAAATGCGGTAACTAGATTCCTGCGAAGTTAATGTTGCCTGAAGCAGAAATTGGGCTGCTTGCAGTACTCCTAGTGTGAAGACTAAGTGCGCTAAAAGCGGGACTTTTGCGTTCGGGCTAAACGCGGCCTCTCTGGTAGTAAGTAAACCTGAGAGTCGTGGTCGCTAGCATTATCCACCCCTCTTTAACCTTTCTCCCTTACTTAAGCGTGATGCCAGAGACTACCAAGAAAAATGAGAACATAGGAGGACTCTGAAGATAGCAGCTCCGCATTTGTTCCTTTTACTGTCTCATTCATTCACTGACATAGTAAATATTTGAGTGCCTACTACTATGTGCCAGGCATTATCTGAGAATGGATATCCCTTAATGATGAAGAACATGGGCTTTAAAGCCAGACTGTCTAGATTTGTATTCTAGCTCTCTCACTCATTAGCTGTGACATTAGGCAAGTTACTTAAGTCTGTTTCCTTACCTGTAAAAAAAAATCCACTTCGTGGGGCTGCTGTGAGGACCGCAAGAATGACGGAGGGTAAGTGCTTCTCAGAGTTCAATAAAGCTTCATTATATATAATAATTAGCCAGTTGCCTCATAAATGTGTAAAAGACATCTCAAGTAATGAAAACTAAGCTTCTGATTCTGCTATCCTCCCTCCCCCAAAACAGCTCCCAATCTTCATCCTCAGTGAATGGCAACTGTATTCATAGTTATGCAAGCCAATGATCTTGGAATGGTCCTGGTCTCCTGTTGTATTGGTCCTATAGAATCCACTTGCTTCTCACAGCTTCCACTACTCTCAATTTTATGCTTGGATTATTATTTTTTTTAATGTTTATTTCATTTTTTTGAAAGAGTGTGAGCAGGGGGAGAGAGGGGGACAGAGGATCTGAAGCGGGATCTGTTGACAGCAGAGAGCCCAAAGCGGGGCTCAAACGCACCAACCCGAGACCATGACCAGAGCCAAAATCAAGAGTCAGACGCTTAACCGACTGAGCCACCCAGGTGTCCCTATGCTTGGATTATCTTAGTAGCTTCCTGCTTTCTTTCTTGCTTCCACTCTGTCCCCCTTTGGTCTCATCACGTAGGAATAAGCAGCAAACTATCTAGTACTAGAGTGGCAGGTACTGTAGTGATCATCAGAAAGGTTATTATTATTCTCTTGGTTAAAAACCATCCCTTGGCTTTCCATATCAGAGTAAAATGCCTTACAAAATCTGCCCCACTCCATAACCTCTGTGATCTCTTTACCTCACTCATTCAACTCCAGAATCCTAACCCCTTTTGTTTCTTGAACATACCAAAGATAATTACACCTCAAGCCCTCTGGACTTGATACTTTCTGCCTGGATTGTTCTTAATCCAGATATAGGATTTGTTCCCTGCATACCCTTCAGATTTTTATTCAAATATGACTTCAGTAAACCTTCCTGACCACCCTATTCAATTCTGAAGACTGTTGGGCACTCTTGATTTCCCGGATCATCTTTTTCCACAGTACTTCTACTAGTTCACTTATGTTTATAGCTTATCATCTGACTCCCTCTGCTAAAATACAAACTTAAAGACAAGAATCCTTGAGACACCTGGGTGGTTCAGTCCATTAAGTATCTGACTTTCGATTTCAGCTTAGGTCATGATCCCATGGTCATGGGATCAAGCCCCACATCAGGCTCCATGCTTGGGATTCTCTCCCCACACCCCGCTCTACCCCTACCCCACTCACATGTGTGCTCTTTTTCTCAAAATAAGTAAACTGAAAATAAAATCTTAAAATAAAATCTTAAAATAAAAATTTTAAATACAATACAATACAATACAATACAATACAATACAATACAATACAATAGGGGCACCAGGCTGGCCCAGCCAGTTGAGTGTTGATTCTTAATTTCAGCTTAGGTCATGATCCCAGGGTTGTGGGATCAAGCCCCACATTGGCCTCAGTGCTTGGGATTCTTTCCCTCTCTGCCCCTCCTCAGCTCATGTTCTGTCTCTCTCTCTCAAAATAAATAAACACTTAGAGAGGAATCATTGTCATTGATATATATCATAAATGCCCACAATAGCACCTGGCACACTTAAATATCTGTTGAGCTAGAGAATGAGTATTTTTCAGCAGTGGATCTTGCAGGCCTCAGAACCCGCTGGTCTGTTTTTCACCT